GTGGGAAAAACATAAAGGAATTGACATCATAATAAAAATCTAGAAATGAATAAAAGTACATACTTGGAATCTTATCCTTGTTTGTTCTACACATTTAATAAATACTTGATTTAGGATTGTGTTTCCCACGATCGAGATTAAGAGTTATTAGACTTAATTTGAACTATTAAAAAAAGAGGTTATTTTATTCAATTAAATAGGAGAATTTAGCCAATAATTTGAAGGAGGTTCGAAGTATTAATGAACTGCTGTCTTAACCTTCACAGAGATATCCATCATATATGTTACAGTGTTGTGGTATGAGATTTAATTTTTATATCAAGACTGAAAAATTATAATCTTTTATAAAATCAAATTCCTCATGAAAAAAGTGTCAAAAAACACTGTTAGAACTTGTTTGGAAAGGATTAAAATTGGATTAAAATTGAAAAACTAATCGTTATTGTTGACTTTTATTAGACGGGTGGGACCCTTTAATTGAATTAAAATCATTCCCCAAACAAGCCCTTAATTTTATTCAAAATCTTTAACGCGTTTTCGAACCACATTATTAAATCATGCTACATTACAATAAAACTATTTTAACTACTTTTTTCTATAATATAATATTATTTTATTTTATTTTTTTCTTTAGGCTTCTTTAAGAGGCTGAATGACGGAAGAATAGGCTCAGTGGCCCAATTGTCGAGCGGGCTAGATGGACACCTTATTTTATAGGGAAGAATTCACAAATCAGGTTTTAAGTTTCACCCATTCAAAAATCAGATATTAAGTTTAAAAAATTCAAAACTCGGGTATTTAATTAATTAATTAAAAATAATTATTATTATTTAAATATAATAAATTAACAATTATACAGTTAATATTCACAAATACATAATTATAGGTCATAATTTATTTATTGATCACATTTATCAAATTAATTAGTCACAAATGATTTCGAGGTCACAAATTCAAAAATTTATATGTCATAGTTAATTTCATTGGTCACATATCTTCAAATTTGTTGATCACTGATTATTTTTCAGTCACATGTTGTCAAATTTTTAGGTCACAGTTAAATATTTGATCACATATAACCAAATACTTGGTCACATACTACTGCCACTACCACTTCAACCACTTTTGACCACCCTCACCCCGTAGCCGCCACCCCATTACCACCAACCAACACACCACCACCTTATCCAACCACAC